AGAATCTCACTATGTTGCTCAGCCTGGTTTTGAACTCCTGGGTTCAAGTAATCCTCCTGCCTTGGCCTTCCAAGTGGCTGGGACTGCCCATATGACCATGCCCACCCTCCCAAGTGGCTGGGACTACAGGCCTGTACCACCAATACCTGTTTTGTTTTGTTTTTTTTGAGATGAAGTCTCGCTCTGTCACCGAGGCTGGATGCAGTGGCATGATCTTGGCTCACTGCAACGTACGCCTCCTGGGTTCAAGTGATTCTCCTTCCTCAGCCTCTTGAGTAGCTGGGATTACACCACGCCTGGCTACTTTTTGTATTTTTAGTACAGATGGGGTTTCACCATCTTGTTCAGGCTGGTCTCCAACTCCTGACCTTGTGATCCACCAGCCTCGGCCTCCCAAAGTGCTGGGATTACAGGTGTGAGCCACCACGCCCGGTCACCAATACCTTTTTATTTTTTCCCTCCTTCCTCTCCTTCCTTTCTTTGTCACTCAAAAACATCTGAGGTCTCTTTCATTTTTGATGTTAGTAATTTGGGTCTTCTAATTTTTGGTCAGTTTAGTTAAATGTCTGTCAATTTTGTTGATATTTTCCAAGAATCAAGGTTTGGTTACACTGATTTTCTCTGGTGCTTTTTTTAATACTCTAATTTATTTCTATTCTTATCTTTATTATTTCCTTCCCTCGTAAATATGCTATTAAATGTTTGCATAGTATCCCCATCATTTGGATGTGTTATAAATAATATCCCAGTTTTGCTGAATATTTTAGATATTTCTGAATATCTGCTGATATTTTAGAGCTTTAGATACCCCCACCTCCATTTTTTTTTCCCATTATTAATTATATTGGCCAGGCTCATGCCTGTAATCCCAGCACTTTGGGAGGCCAAGGCAGATGGATCACTTGAGCTCAGGAGTTTGAGACCAGCCTGGGCAACATGGAGAAACCACATCTCTAAAAAGAAAAGAAATATATATGTGTAAACATCTCCATGTAAGCAGAATTTTCTGTTTTAGATTTTTGTATAGGGTAGTAGTTAGTAGAAATGGCTTTGGAGCAACACCATGTCCTTCAGTTTACCCAGCTATGTGACTTTGGACAAGTTGTTTGTGTTTGGATTTCTTCATCTGTAATGTGGGAATGGTAATTTGTTCTTGGGCATCTAGGTTATGTTATAATTAGGACTGCTTTCTATCACTGAAATATCTAGGGCAGAGGATGTGAACTATTCTAAATAAACTCAATACATAAAGAAATATTTTCTATTAGTTCCTTTCTGTGAAAAATAGGGAAAGAAAATGAATACACATATGTAAGAAACCACCTCCAAAGTTCCAACATAGGTATTTCAGGAATGTGATGGTCTTTTTTTTTTTTCCTTTTTCAGATTGGTAACAATTTGAAAAAACCTGCAGGTGAACCACATAGACTAGAAATATGGCAAAAATTAAGAAAATGTTAGGTATGGCTTGAATGCGTAAAATATATGTAGATACTAGTCTATGTGTTATTTGACTATGTTATTGGTAAAGCTTCTAGTCAACAGTAGACTATTCGTAGTTATGTTTTTGAGGAGTCAACTTTTTTTTTTTTTTTTGAGACAGGGCCGCCTCACTCTGTGGCTGAGGCCAGTGTAATGGTTCGATCTCTACTCAATGCAACCTTGATCTCCTGGGCTCAAGCACCCTCTCACCTTAGCCTACCGAGTAGTTGGTACCACAGGTGCGCGCCACCACACTCAGCTAATTTTTTGTACATTTTATTTATTATTAATTAATTTATTTATTTTGAGACAGAGTCTCACTCTGTCGTCCAGTGTGGAGTGCAGTGGCACTATCTCAGCTCACTGCAACTTCTGCCTCCCAGGTTCAAGCAATTCTCTTGCCTCTGCCTCCAGAGTAGCTGGGATTACAGGTCCTTGGCTAGTTTTTGTATTTTTAGTAGAGATGGGGTTTCATCATGTTGGCCAGGCTAGTCTCAAACTCCTGACCTCCGGTGATCTGTCTGCCTTGGCCTTCAAAAGTGCTGTGATTACAGGTGTGAGCCACCGCGCCAGGTCTGAGTGTTAAAACTTACACTCAGAGTTTTTAATGCATGGGGGCTGCTCCCTCAATACCCACATTGTTTAAGGGTCAACTGTATTTTTTATTGTTTTATTTATTTATTTTTCTTAAATATTTTTGATCCCTGGTTGGTTGAATCCGAGGATGCAGAACTGAGGAGGGAACATGGCTACATGTTGTCGGGGATAAAAAAGTAAATGTGACTCTGCCTTTTCTCTTGGAGCTTGAAATCAGCCTGTGAATATCTGAGCTGGTAGAGCTGGTAGAGCTGGACGAGGGTAGAGCTGAGCATAATTTTTGTTTCTAAAGGAGAGATAAAACCAAGTATCTCAGGAATCGAAAATAGCTATTAGGTACCCCTTGAAGGGATATCTGAGATCCTTAGGGTTCTCAGTCTTCTTTAAATGTATGTATATTTTTAAAAATGAAACCAAAGTCATAAGTGTAACTAAAGGTACCCTAAAGAAATCACATTAGTTTTGAAATGATCGTGAGGAATCTACAGCATTAACGTTAGGAAACTTTTTATAAAGCCCCAAGAGGTTTCACGTTGGTTGTCTCTGCTGGTAATATGAGCTATTTAAGTGTATTTAAGGAGTGTAGTGACAAAGAGACACATGGAATTAGCAAGATGTTTCTAGTGGGCTCCACCTTAAAGCCTTGTTCACTTTCTTTTTTTTTTTTTTTTTTTTTCAGATGGAGTTTTGTTCTTGTTGCCCAGGCTGGAGTGCAATGGCGTGATCTCAGCTCACCGCAACCTCTGCCTCCTGGGTTCAAGCGATTCTCCTGGTTCAGCCTCCCGAGTAGCTGCTGGGATTACAGGAATGTGCCACCACGCCTGGCTACTTCTGTATTTTTAGTAGAGACGGGGTTTCTCCATGTTGGTCAGGCTGGTCTCGCACTCCCGACTTCAAGTGATTCGCCCGCCTTGGCCTCCCAAAGTGCTGGGATTACAGGCATGAGCCAACGTGCCCAGCCAAAGCCTTGTTCACTTGCATTTTGTGGTTGCTGCTGTTGTGAAATTTGCAGAACTTCAAGCTGTTTGGACTCCATCTTCTAGGTTGAATTAGATTACAGGTAATCTCATGGTGGAGGTGTATTTTGGATCGACTCACTTTTGAAATGTTTATGAAAGAAATTCCTTGGCCTTGGGACTTCCACACTGGAGCTGGCAATCAGGATCACCTTAATTTACCTATTGCAGTGAGGCATCTCTGCTCTGAGGAAAGCAAAACAAAACAAAACAATACCAAATAGAAGAGCTAATGGTTCTGTTTTGTTTTGCTGTTTTAGAGACAGGGTCTTGCTCTATCACCGGGCTGGAATGCAGTGACATCATCATAGCTCACCGTAGCCTTGATCTCCTGGGCTCAAGCGATCCTTCTGCCTCAGCCTCCCGAGTAGCTGGGATGGGACTACAGATGCACGCCACCACACCTGGCAATTTTTTTTAGTTTTGTGGAGACGAGGTCCCATGTGAGCCACTGTGCCCTACCTTTTAAAGAAATTACCATAAGGAAGCAACTGTCTTTAGCAAATAGAAGATCATAAACATCCTTCTGGAGATCTTGAGATGTTGACTGCGGTTTATAGGGCAACGAAAATCTGCCTACTTGAGTGGGCAATGAGACGGGAGTGCTACCTGTGATCCTTCCAGGGAGCAATTCTTTCTGGTGCCAGGAGCCCAAAGGAAACTCAGTCAACCAGCTACAGATGGGCTTGCTCCGAGTTTGTTCTAGAAGTCAGAACTGCCAGCTCTGAAAATAGGTCACAAATGACAGGCCGTCCCTGGGCTGCTCACAGGAAGTAGCTGCAAAGGTCAGGGAAAGTTTTTAACGACTATACAGGCCAGTGAATGACAGGCTTTGAGGAGCTTCTCTTCTTGGCATCTGAAACAGGCACGTGGAGGAGCTGCCTTGGAGACAGAATGACAGCTGTGGTGATGTGAGCCTGATTCCTCAGCCCCATAAAACAGATACCTTTGCAAAACAACCATTTCTTTCTTTTTTTCTTTTTCTTTTTTTGAGAGGGAGTGTTGCTCTGTCCCCCAGGCTGGAGTGCAGTGGTGTGATCTCGGCTCACTGCAAGCTCTGTCTCCTGGGTTCAAGCGATTCTCCTGCCTCAGCTCCCAAGTAGCTGAGATTACAGGCACCCGCCACCACACCTGGCCAATTTTTGTATTTTAGTAGAGATGGGGTTTTGCCACGTTGGCCAGGATGGCAAAAAGGCCGTTTCTATACAGAGGAATCATCTTGCAGGACTCAAGGAATGATTGAGAGGAATCTACAGCGTTAACTTTAGAAATTCGATGCAATATTCCCGAGAGGAGTTAAGGTTGGGATAAGCCATCTCTGAATTAATTTCAACCTTGAGATGCTGCGATCCTATGAAGTCACAGACATATTTCTTTTTTCTTTGTTTGAGATGGAGTCTTGCTCTGTCGCCCAAACTGGAGTGCAGTGATGTGATCTCGGCTTACCACAACCTCTGCCTCCTGGGTTCAAGCAATTCTCAGCTTCAGCCTCCTGAGTAGCTGAGATTACAGGTGCCTGCCACCATGCCTGGCTACTTTTTGTATTTTTAACAGAGATGAGGCTTCACTATGTTGGCCAGGCTGGTCTTTAACTCTTGGCCTCAGGTGATCTGCCCACCTTGGCCTCCCAAAGTGCTGGGATTACAGGTGTGAGCCACCATGCCCGGCCTCAATCCTTGCTTTACTGCTGGCTTAAGTATCACCAAGGCAGGTGATACTTAAGTCCAGATACATATTCCTATTAATACACATTTGCATGGATCATTTGTTACTGAAGTTTACGCCTTATGCTTGAGAATGCTATTTCACAGACACAATTGTTATAGTATAAATAAGAGAGTATAGTTACAATCTGGATACTATTTTTTGCTTATCTTATTGGCCCAGCAACCAGCTTGACGTTGGGGACTATCAGGCTCCACATAATAACCAATGTCTCACTCCAAACAAACAGACAGGATACAATGGAGCCAGGGTCAGCAAACATTTTCTGTAAAGGGCCAGATAGTAAATATTTTGGGCCTTGTGGGCCATATGGTCTCTGTCGCAACGATTCAACTCTCTGTTGTAACAAAAAAGCAGCCAGGCAATATGTAAATGAATGAGCAGGGCCGTGTTCCAGGAAAACCACAAAAACAGGCAGCCGGCTTTGGCTTGGACTTTGAGAGCGTGGACTTTGAAGCCAGGTTCAAATCCTGGCTTTCTCACCTTCTAGCTCCAACCTCAAAGAACTTCATTATCTTCTGTGTATTTTGGTCTTTTCATCTCTAAATTAGTGATAGTACTTATCTAACAGTGCCGTTATAAAGATTAAATGAGTTATAAAGATTAAATGAGTTAAGTTCGTAAAGTACTTAAACAGTGCCTACCAGGTAGTTAAGTGCTATAGCACAGTGTGTTACATAATTAAACAACCTCTGCCATGGGCAATATTATTCCCATCATGATTTAGATTCAAAGAAAGAAATACATGACTTAGAAGAAGGCTACGACTCGAACTCAGTTTCCCCATCTCTAATATTAATATCAGAGATTGCACTTTTCTCATCAGAGAACAAATCATTACATCAAAATGCAGGGAAATTCCCCATGACAGACTATGAGTCAGGCCTTGGCCTCTAAAGCCAAAATCTTTTTTTTGTTTTGAGATGGAGTCTCACTTTCTTGCCCAGGCTGGAGTGCAGTGACATGATCTCGGTTCACTGCAATGTCTGCCTCTGGGGTTCAAGTGATTATTCTGCCTCAGCCTCCCGAGTGGCTGGGATTACAGGCGCCCGCCCCTATGCCCAGCTAATTTTTTGTATTTTTAGTAGAGATGGAGTTTCACCACATTGGCCAGGCTGGTCTCGAACTTCTGACCTTGTGATCCCACCTGACTCGGCCTCCCAAAGTGCTGGGATTACAGGTGTAAGCCACTGCACCTGGCCAAGCCAAAATCTTAAAGGACTACTTGTATTTCTTCTCTTCCCACCCACACAAGGAATTATTATACACAGCGGCGTGCTGGGGCTGGTGTGCATTGGCTCACTAGTGCTGACTGTTAAATTTTCAGGAATTTGGGCCAGGCGTGGTGGCTCACACCTGTAATCCCAGCACTTTGGGAGGCCAAGGTGGAAGGATCTCATGAGGTCAGGAGTTCAAGACCAGCCTGGCCAACATGGTGAAGCCCCGTCTCTACTAAAAACACAAAAATTAGTCAGGTGTGGTGCCAGGCACCTGTCATACCAGTTACTCGGGAGGCTGAGGCAGGAGAATCACTTGAACCCGGGGGGCGGAGGTTGCAGTGAGCCAAGATGGTGCCATTTTACTCCAGCCTGGGCAATGAGAGCAAAACTCCATTTCAAAAACAATAAAATAAATAAATAAATAAATATTTTCAGGAATTTTGTGAAGCAGTAGGGAAACTCTTGGTAGCTTGAAACTGCCTGTGGTGGGAGCATTTACACCATTAAATTGGCAGGTGTCACACAGTCAGGGCTTTCAATCTCTTGGAGAAGCAGGTTATCAGCACACTGGCCCTATGCCAGCAGTAAGCACTCCTCCAGGGGGGACCCCATATCCTAAATAGCTAGTTGGTAAACAATATTCAGTGTCATGTGAACCATCACATCCTAGGGCACCATGACCTCAGAAAAATGCCAGGCACACGCTTTTGCCTCATGGCAGAGGCAAACAGCTTGTACATGCTTTGTTTAGAGACAGAAACAAGTCAGTGATGGCCCTGGACTCTGATTTGTAGACATCTGACTAAACAGTCCTGCTCTCTGTTCCCATTCCAGTACACACACACACACATGCATGTGCGCACATGCACACACACACTGGCCTGCGTAGGTCAAGCTAAATAGGAACTGAATGGCGTAGGAGGCACTAAAAGAAAGAGAGATAGAGCTTGTTGGGCAAATGTCATAATCATAATCAAAGTACTTTATTTTCTTTTTTTGAGACAAAGTCTCCCTCTGTTGCCCAGGCTGGAGTGCAGTGGCACGATTTCGGCCCACTGCAACCTCCACCTCCCAAGTTCAAGCAATTCCCCTGCCTCGGCCTCCCAGGTAGCTGGTATTACAGGCGCATGCCACCACACCTGGCTAATTTTTGTATCTTTAGAAGGGATCGGTTTCGCCATGTTGGCCAGGCGGGTGATCCACCCTCCTCGGCCTCCCAAAGTGCTGAAATTACAGGCAGGAGCCACTGTGCCTAGCCTCAAAGTACTTTTAGTGGACAGTTTTTCTAGGAAAGGCAATGAGTTCTGTGTTTGTTTTGTTTGATTGTTTTGCCATTTCTTAAGGTAAGGTCTTCATAATCTAAACATGTGACTTCTACCCTTTTGTGGAAGCAGCAGAGGGAATACAAACAAGGGCTGAACTCAGTCAGAGATTGTTAGACAAGACACTCCCTCGTGTGAAGTTGTGAATCTCATTTTTCTTCTCTATAAAAGGAGAATCAAAACAATTCCATTGCTAGTCTGACATCGTGGTTGTGAAAATCCATGCTATCTTGTTCTCCACTTACTCAGCATACTTTCTGACTACCACTGTGTGCTGTGAGGGGCTGAGGATCCAGACGTGGCTGAGGAAGGTCCCGGCTCACGAGGAGGTGGAAGCCTGGGTGCTTAAACAGATAATCCAGAGTTTGGATGTGAGGTGGTGAATCACTCTGGCTTCATTTGGTTATACTGGTCAAGAGTTTGGCTCTGGAGCAACGTGTCTGGGTTTGAATCCTGGCTGTGCTTTTGGGTGAGTTATTGAACATATCTTTTTCCATTCTGTAAAATGGGATTTTTAAGCTTTCCTCAATTTCATCTGTAAGCAGAAATAATAATAGTACCTCCTTCCTAGAATTGTTACAAAGATTAAATGAGATAATATATGTAAAGTTTCTTCCGTTTCTTCATCTGTAAAAATGAATAGTAACTACTATTTTTAGTGTTGGCATTGTTGTGATGATTAAATGAGAGAACACATGAAAGTATTTAGAACCTTAGGAAAAAAACACGAATAAGGTAGACTCACGGAAAACACAAACACTAAATAGGTATTTATTCAAGGTTGTAAATGCAGTGAGACAAATATGCGCTAAAGAGGGATTCTTTTTGTTTTATTTTTTGAGATGGAGTCTTGCTCTATTGCCAGGCTGGAGTGCAGTGGCGCGATCTCGGCTCACTGCAAACCTCCACCTCTGCGTTCAAGCGATTCTCCCACCTCAGCCTCCTGAGTGGCTGGGATTGTAGGTGCCTGCCACCACGCCTGGCTAATTTTTGTACTTTTGGTAAAGACAGGGTTTCATCATGTTGGTCAGGCTAGTCTAAACTCCTGACCTCAACTGATCCACCTGCCTCGGCCTCCCAAAGTGTTGGGATTACAGGGGTGAGCCGCCACACTCAGCTAAAGAGGGATTCTTAGCCTGGGAGTCAGGGAAGGCATTTAGAGATGATATCTGAGATTGTAAATTCATTCATTCAGTCATCCATCAGGTGCAAACATTCGAGTGTCTATCACATGCCAGGCTTCATCTAGTGCTGGGTCTATAGTGATAAACCAAACTGACTTATTCCTTACCAGAGGCATCACAAAGAGATGGTTTGGGTGGGGATGGGGGATTTCTTTTTTTTTTTTCCTGAGAGCTGAGATCTCACTATGTGGCCCAGGCTGGAGTGCAGTGCCACAATCATAGCTCACTGTAGACTCAAACTTCTGGGCTTAGGCAATCCTAGAAATCCTCCCACCTGAGCCTCCCAAGTAGCTGGGACTACAGGCACCTGCCACTGTGCCCAGGTGAGAAGGATAGTTTATGCACCCCTTTCCCATAATCCCAAAAGTCCTTTTCATATTTACAAAAATAAACAACCGTTATTTTTTCAATCTTACATGAGTATCATGCAATCACAGCCTTGAGATAAATACAGTAACAACACAATAAAAATACTATAAATAAAAATGTATTTGCATAGCATTTACATTGTATTATAAGTAATCGAGTGATGATTTAAAGTATAGATGATGGGTTGTCATGGCTCATGCCAGTAATCCCAGCAGTTTGGGAGGCTGAAACAGGTGGATTACCTGAGGTCAGTAGTTTAAGACCAGCCTGGCCAACATGGTGAAACCCTGTCTCTACTAAAAATACAAAAAATTAACCGGGCGTGGTGGCGGGCACCTGTAATCCCAGCTACTCAGGAGGCTGAAGCAGGAGAAATGCTTGAACCCGGGAGGCGGAGGTTGCACTGAGCCGAGATGGTGCCATTTTACTCCAGCCTGGGCAATGA